GGATGATTGATGTCAGATGATAGATATGGAAGATGATAGATAGATAGATAGATAGATAGATAGATAGATAGATAGATAGATAGATAGATAGATAGATAGAATTGTTTGAATAGTGACTCTTCCCAGTACTTTAATTTCATTCAAGAACAAAGAATACAAGAAAAAATTGTCTTTCTTTTGAAGCAAGTGGTTAGCTTTAATCACTCCTACCTGTTCTTCCAAACAATTAGAAGGTCTCTTTTCCTGACTCCCCCAATTCACTACAGGAGAAATCATGCATCTATTTTTTCATAAGTACATGGAAACATGTAAATAGCTGGGCTGATGTTTCCCAGCCTTGTTGGATTCTGTACGCACCATCCTCACTTAAACAACCTATGTTTTGACGTTCTTCCTGCAGGACCTGCCAGGCTACGCTCTGGTGGGCTGCGTGGGTCAGCCTCTGCTTGGCTGCCTGCAAACACACGTCTGTTTCTTTGAGGTCCTGCAAAGAGGAGAAGACATCTTCCCATCAGATCCCATCAGAGCCAAAAACCCACAATAAACCTTCACTGCCAAAAACAGAAGCATTCATTATTACAATGCTCTCTCCAATCCACTGATCAATGTTTCTTGCAATAGGGCCAACAAGAGTCCATATTTCAGTATAGGCAGTCCTCGCTTAACAACTACTCCTTCAGCGGCCACTCGCAGTTATGACGGGGCTAAAAAAATGAGATTTGTGGCTGCTCCTCAAACCAGGGGGCCACCGCAGCAATCCTGCAGTTATGGGCTCAATATTTAAGTGCTTGTTAACTGGCAAACATGTAGGCAGTCACCATTTTCAATCATCTCAGCTTAACTTCCAACTAACCGAGGCACTGGGGAAGCCACGGGAAGTTGCAAGTTGCAGTTACAAGTTGTCAAGACTTTTTGACTGTAGCAGAACCGACGTCACAAATTGAGTGTGATCGTATAACGTTTCACTTGATGACTGTTCCACTTAGTGACTGAGTTTCTGGTCCCAACTGTGGTCGGTAAGTGAGGACCACCTGTATTATTTTGGTGGAATTCAAAGCCCCAAATTTGATGGTACATACAGGTAGCCCTTAATTTACAAGTTTCATTTAGTTACAACGGCAGTGAAAAAAGTGATGTACGACCATTTTTCACACTTATGACCATTGCATAATCTCCGTGGTCACATGATCCAAATTCAGGCGCTTGTCAACTGACTCCTATTTATGACGGTTGCAGTGATCCCCTTTGGCGACCTCCTGACGAGCAAAGTCCATGGGGAAGCTGGATTTACTTAGCCACCACGTTACTAACTTAACAGCTGCAGTGATTCGCTTAACAACTGTGGCAAGAAAGGTCACACAATGGGGCAAAACTCACTTAAATGTCTCACTTAACGACAGAAATTTTGGGCTCAATCGTGGTCGTAAGTCGAGGACTACCTGCTTTCTTGGATATATCTAGGCCAGTTGTACGTCATCTTCGGATTTAGAAGACGTTTCAACCAAGTCTGCAGAGATCAATTGTAAATAAACAGCCTAGCTAAAAGAACCAACCCTGAAGTGGGTGGAATTCTAGTGAGAAATAAATGCCACCATACTCCAAATCTGGCGCCAAAACTATCCCACCAGAGCAGCACCTACCTCTTTCAGCGCAGTTTGGACCACTCCAGGTTCTTCGAGAGGAAGCAACGAGCTGAGCGGATTTGGGGATTTGGTTCCATCGCCTGCAGGTGATGGGAGGGAAGCAGACGTTATAAAGAGAATTTGTTTCTGCCTTCTTGTGCCCGTGGTCGCTGAACATTCTGGCCCAGGCTTCCTTAACAAGCAAAAAGCGGAGTCTTGATCCCGGCAAAACCCCTTTTATTTACACAACTGTAAATTCCTTTCATTCACAGTCAGCAAGACTTATCAAACAGTCTTTTAGAAGGTTGTTTATCAAATACAAACCTTATCTCATTTGGCAAACTGCCAAATGACTAGTTTCCAAACACCAGGCAAGACAAAACTTGGCACAGAGTCTCTTTCAGTTACAAGCAGAACTTTTCTCTCTTGACATAACCGAATGAACGTATTGTTTCCTGCAAAATCCCACTCCCCCTTCGTTCCTCTTTTGTGTTACCTTCCCACCAAAGGCAGTTCCTATTTTTCTGCTTGCATTTTTACATGATTTCGAACTGCCAGGTTGGCAGAAGCTGGGACAAGTAACGGTAACCCACTCCTACGCATCGCTAGGGATTCGAACCACCAAACTGCCGACCTTTCTGATCGACAAACTCAGCCTCTTGGTCACTGAGCCACCGCGTCCCCAGAAAATTCAATAATGGGGGTGCAAATCAAAGGATTGCTAAACCATATTTGCAGTCCCATTCTCACGGATCTGAACAAACTACATTACTTTTGAAAATCTTCTCTTCCAGAAGACAGAATCAAGCACCAGAACTTTGAATGTAGGTTTTGGCTGCTCAGTTTAAAAACTAAAAAAAAAAAAATGCAAATGCAGAAGGACATTCATTCCTGCATTATAATTCTTACCTGGCACTTTGATCTCCACTTCAATGTTTTCTCTCTTCACAGCCTCCAAGGGCTCCTTCTCAGCCTGTTCAAAATCAGCTAGGTCTTCATTTTGGGGCCCCTAAAAGAGAGAGGAGAGTCTTTTAACACAGAACAAGCGAGATTGATTTTTGACACAATCTAGGTGGGTTGCTTGCTTTGACTTATGAGGGGTATTGAAGGGCAGTTCAGTTACAGAACAATACTGCAAGTTTCCAGCCCACGAGAATTCCTGTTCAGTTTTCTTAAGTATCACTGCATTAGCACAATAAGACAACTTACATTGGTTTATTTTGAATTTCCACCCTAGAATGAAAATCAGTTGGCTATGTTAACTTGGGTATGTCTTTAAATCTGTCCCAGATGGTCAGAACATATGAAGAACGGTTACAGGAACTGGGCATGGCTAGTCTAGTGAAGAGAAGGACCAGGGGAGACATCATGTTGGTGTCCCAATATTTGAGGGGCTGCCACAGAGAGGAAGAGGTCAAAGTATTTTCCAAAGCACCTGAAGATCAGATAAGGAATAATGGATGGAAACTGAACGAGGAGAGATTCAACCTGGAAACAAGGAGGAACTTTCTGACAGTGAGAACCAATCAACCA